TGACTGTATGACTATCAGTTGAAATATCAGACTATCACTAGACCTAGAACTAGTTAAAGTTAAACTAAAGTAACTATTAAGACTAAGTATTATACTAACTAGGGTAACTAGAGTAAGTAAGTAGTAAGCTACTAGATCTAGATCTAACTACTAACTTAGTAACTAGATCTAAATCTAGAGCTTATTCACTGATTAGTGATCATTGATCATGATGATGAACTATAATATATAAATCAGGTTTCTCTTATATTTTAAGAATAAAATATGCAGAAAAAAAATGCAGATTACAAATATGTAATTTGATTTCCTCAGAGATAAATAGTTTTTAAAATATATATTTTAAAGTTTTATTTCTTATTACCATATATTCAAATATTGTCATTGGAAATACACCATTTTGGTTTTAAGGCTTAATACTAGACTATCTCCCTTGAAATACTTTCCAACGTTTTTCTGTTGCTGTTTTGTCTTTCTTTCTAGCAGTTATTAGATCTAATATTAAAATTCCTTTAAAATGATAGCATAAGAACAAAAAACTCTCTTTAAACAAATTTATTGAAAAAAAAAAAAAAAGAAAGAAACAACAAGTTCATCAATTTATTATTAACATTTTATTTGGACCTTCATTTCAGTAAATACACTTAAAAAGTCATAAGTTGACAGCTTAAGAACAAAAAACTCTCTTTAAAAAAAGTTTAATATAGGTTAGGGAGATAAATTTGCTTAAAAATTTATAAAAACAACATGGTGGTCAGTAAAGGTATCTGGGCATCTAAACTAATACCATTATCTATACTATAAAATAGAATGTGAGGAGTATGTATGTTACTAATTGAAATCAAAACTGTTTGACCAATCTTGATAAAACTTGGCAGAAATGTTTACCATGTCTACATGATGAGACAAGACAGAGAAATGAAAATCTCTAGATCTAAAGTAGCCCTAATTCAAGAAAACATATTTTTTACTTTTACTGTTATAAAATATATTCAACATCTTGATATCGTGCACTTCTAAATACACTACAAGCAAATGTTTTCATTCAATAATTGGATAATCAAATAGCTATTTTTAGCTCCATTCCTAATATTTTTATATTCTTGAATTCATGCATTCGCTTTACTTATAACATTATTATTTTCTTTAATTGTTATGAATACACTATATCACTAACTATTTCAGTGATACGCAAATTAAGCCCAGCGGGCTGCAGGTAATATATGGCTAGTAATATAATATTATTTTGTTATAAACCCGCCATGCGCACCGCCATTCAAGATAGTGCAGAAGGTGCGCACTGCCAGAAACTAGACAGAAAAGGATGTTGACATTAGGAAGAATAATGACTTCCGCCCAAGTCTAGAGCCGAAATGAAGATGCTGTGTTCAAGGCAGATGTTTTATGTGTTTGTCATGTCTCCGTGTAAATAAACATCTATATCTCACTGAGTTGCCTCCCTTAAGTTATTACATTGGTGTCGAAGTGGGATTATAGGCAACTCAACGAGAGGAGGTAGGATTCGATCTCAATGGCATCTTTGAAGCTATTACATCAACTCTTAATTAAAGAGCTAAGATATGAGCTTCGGTACCGAAGTTTAAAACCCGTTGGTAGCAGAGAAATGCTCACAGCTTGTATCCGGCAAACCCTGATCGATGAAGAAGAATCCAGAGACCTACCAATTTGAAATTGAACCCGGGATTGTTGAGGTCATTGTCAAGATCCAGGACTGTAGGGATGCATTTCATGAACAAATGAACATGATTAGGAACGTGATGGGAAACATGAGTAGGAACTTTATGTGGAACAAGGTAGATGAAAGTGTATTGCAAGTAGAAGGCCAAATACACCAAAGTGATCAAATGGTGTCGCAAGCGAAAGAAGTGCCAGCTGTGACTGCTGTGGGCAAGTCTTGTGGGTGTGAATTTCAAGACGAGAAACGTGACAACGATTGCTGTGATGATCTCAATGAGATGTACCGAATCGAAAGGAAAGAGACAAGGGAAGGAATTGAAGTCTAAAATAATGGTGATAATTACTGAAGTGTTTAGTTCTTTGAGAAATGACATTTAAGAGGAGTTATTAGGAAATTAATTATAATAGAAAGTATATAGGAATAGAGCTCTGGAGTTAAAAACTCAATGTACACCAGGAATTTTAAAAAAAGTGTTGACTCTAGCTGAGTTGTGTTTGATGGGCATTCAAAGGCAGCTTTGTGGAATGTATGATTGAGAGGCTTAAAATGCTTGGTTACCTATCAAGGGGGCTAAAATTCAGAACCTGACTTGAGCTGAGTGGTGTTTGCTAAGCACCTAATGTAGCATGGAAACCTTCTTCCATATATCCTCTATTACCAAAGAGATTGGACCATAGCACACTAAGCAAGCTGTGAGCATGAAAGGTGTACTTTGCAAAAACAAAAAGAAAACTCGGAATCAGAATTTAGTGACTGATTTTTGGCTTTTATTTTGTTTATTTTAGGTGAGATTTTAATACTAAACCATCACTTGCCCCAGCACAACCAAGGGGATTTTGAGTTTAAAACCCCTTACCAGAGGGTCGAGTTTATAACCCCCTACCAGGTGGTTTTGAGTTTAAAACCCCCTACCAGGGGTTTTTGCAGTTCAGCCCCACTCTTGTATAAAACAAAACAAACAAAAATGCAAACGGCAATCCCCAAATTCCAAGAGCACAATTTACGATAAAATCCCTTTTCAATATAAAAAAAAAGCAAACTACACACTCAAAATTCTATGAGCGTAACCAAAGGGGTTTTGAGTTCCCCCCACCTCTCTTCAGCAGGGTTTGAAGCTAAAAAATACCTCTTCAATATAAAAAAAAAAGCTAATTACGCACTCAAAATGTTATGAGCGTAGCTTAATGGGTTTTGACTCAGTTTTGAGTTTAAACCCCCCTTCAGCGGGGTTTGAAAGTAAAAAATACCTCTTTAATAATAAAAACAATGCAAATTATACACTCAAAATGTTATGAGTGTAGTCAAAGGGGATTTGAGTTTAAACTTCCCTCCAGTGGAGTTTGAAGCTAAAAAATACCTCTTCATTATATAAAAAAAGGCAAATAGCTCACTCTAAAATCTATGAGCGAGCCAAAGGGGTTTTGAGTTTAAACCCCCTGCCAGCGGGGTTTGAAGCTAAAAAATACATCTTCAGTGTAAGAAAAAAGCAAATTAAGCACTCAAAATGCTACTAGCATTGCCAAAAGGGGTTTTGAGTTTAAACCCCCCTTCAGAGGGGTTTGATGCTAAAAAAATACCTCTTCAATATAAAAAAAAGCAAATTACACACTAAAACTATTTAAGCGTAGCCAATCCTACTGGGGTTTTAGGTTTAAACCCCTCTCCTACAGATGGCTTTTTTAAAAGTTTAAAACCTCCTCCAGATGGTTTTGAGTTTAAAATTCCCTTACAAAGTGTTTTGAGGTGGAAAACCTCTATCTTCAATATTAGTTTTGATGGTTTTGAATTGCTCTAATCTCTCAGCAAATTCATCTGTAATTTTTAAAATAATATAACTGTGCTGAAGTAATTCCTGTCAACAGTTGCACTGGTTTTATCATGATATTGCTTTGAAAAGTGAAAATGAAGTCATTTATCACTCTGAATAAGTAAAGTAATGTTTCTCTTTCAGACCTTGCAATCTATAGGGTAGATGATGTAAAGATCATCTCTTTCTGAGGCCCACGGTTGAGCGTGTCATGTGGCCAGCACAATGACTAACCGCCTTTACTTTCCCCAACTAATGTCAGGTACCTATTAGAGCTGGGTGGATTTAGAAGCGCTTAAAAAATATCCAGAGATTAAAAATTCCAGTCTTAACCAAGATTCTAACTCGGGACCCGGTTCGAAGCCAAGCTCTTTACTGCTCAGCCACTGCTCTTATCTTCTATCAAAACATCAGCTGGGTTTTCATTTTCTCATAGTTTAAGATTCATCTCATTGGCTTTTGCTGATATATCCATCGTAAAGTAACATTTTTGAAACCATTTGTCGTTCTCTAATTCAGGGTGATTAATACCTTTCTCATTTAGGAATGTATTTATTTCATTCAATCACAAAGCTGGAAGCTTCAACACCATACCTGTAGAAAGCTATCGCACTTTATTGGGAAGAAGAAGGTTGGAATACTGAGTCTCCATTTCGTCTAAGAATTTTTTAAACTGACGATGGTAGAGTGCTTTTGACAAGCACTTCTTGGTGTATTAAGCGGTGAAACGTAAGAAATTTGTGGAGAATCGTCGTTGCTCCTTTATTAATTCCTGTCATACTTCTGGCTCCATCAGTTGCTATTGAAACTAGTTTATTTAAATCGATTTTATTGTCTTCAAGGTATTTTTGCATGGCATTCGCTAAATCTTCTCCTCTAGTTTGTCTGTCATGAGCAGGGCCGGTCCTACAGATTGCGGGGCCCTATGCAAAACGGATAGCACGGGCCTAGTCTGGGTGAGGATAATAAGTGAAAATTAAGAATTTTTGTAATAAAATAAATTTGTCATTGCATTTTATTCATATTTTACTAAGTATAAAATCACGGTCAAATTAAATTACGAGGTATCTACAATAGAAGGTATAGTTTTCCAACAAAAAGCTGATAAACATTCACATCTGCCTTTTAGATTTACTTTTTTAAGAGATCAAGACAGATTTAGATCTAGAATCTATATTTACGTCTTATCTTATATGATACAGACGTTATTTCAAAAAAGATTACCTTCTACGCGTCTTGCATTTAGTCATGCATATTAACCAATGACCTAAACTCCGCAAAGTCACTGGTTTTCCTGGCTAGCTCAGGCAACCCATTCCATGCTCTAAAAGCACTAGGGAAGAAAGAGCATTTGTACAAATTTGATGAAATTTTGTTTTTGTATTTGAAGATTATGGTTCAGTGTTTTATGTATAATTGCTACTTTACTTTTACGTCTTCTCTCCTGAAGGCTTTCTAAATTTAGTGATTTTATTAAATGTGTTACTGTAGTCAAATGTTCTATTTTATGTCTGTTCCAGTTTCTTAATGTTTTCTTGAGTTGAGTGGTCCCAAACAGAGGATGCATATTCTATTATTGGCCTAACTAAGTTTAAATAACATTTTAGTTTTATGCAAGCATTGTAAGTAGAGATGATACATTTGGTGTTTGATGTCACAATGTTTACTTGATGTCACAATGAGATTGTGTTGATCAGACAATGCGTTTCTGATGTTCAATTTTGTATAGTGCTCTCCTTCTAAACAATTACTGAACACAACTCAAGAGATACAAATTGTAGGTATAAATTCAAAACTAAGATAATTTAACAATAAATACAAAACTTTTATTCTGCAACTAGGATATATAAAATGTACAATACAATTCAATTTAAACACATTACTACCGTCATCTCAGTCCCCCAAATTTAAATACCTTTTACCATCTCTCTTTTCCCACCTTTTTTGAACTATCCAAGCTTCTGTAGCACTTGGAATTTTCCAAATACTCCTTCTAAGTTATTTTTAACAACATACCACCAAGATGCGATGTAAAATAATTAATAATTCTTTATATATAAATTCTAACTGGCCTTGCTCACTTCTGCTCTGTGACATAAGTTTACTTTTTTTTTCTTATTATTCTTGTATTATAAAGAATAACTAGTACAAACCGTACAATAGTGACATAAGGCATGTCTAATTTATTCACATTTATTAAATATTACATATGCACAAATGCAGTTTTAAGATTTTTTTTTCCAACAATCATATGTTCTTTTATTCTTATCTAGAATCATGTCATTGACGCTGTCAAATGTATCTGCTAGAGAATGGTTCCACAAAACTAGGGAGAGTGTCAAGCCCTGGACAGAATTCTTGAATTCTAAAAAATTTGCTATCCCAAAAACAGTGGCACCACTTCCCAAAAGAATATTTAAAAATATTGAAGCATTTCAAGGCAACTACTTGTTTGTTTTTTTGGGCCTTGTTGTTGTTTGCATGTAAGTTTACAGTTATATATTTTTTTTTTAATCTGGAACTTGACTAAACATTTTCTGTCACTTTGTTTATAAATCTTCCTAGTAAGTTAAAAAAAAAAGGCAGTTTTTTAATAGAGATGATCATTGATACTTCATTGCAGTTTGTAAGAAACTGGCAATACCTACTGATAAAAAACTTTAGGGAGTTGTTTCTGCTTATTATAATTTTGTTCACAATTTAAAACAGGTTTTATTTTGCTACTACTTAGAGACTAAGCTGATTACAATATATGATGTTGCCCTTGAATTTCAGCATCACATCTCCTTTGTTGCTGGTTGCTATTGCAGCTTGTCTTGGTGCTTGTTATATCATCAGCCTTAAAAATCAGGAACAAAAAATTACAATTATGGGTAAGCATTTATTTTTATTATTATAGAATTTTAATAAATCATATTTTTTTTAGATCTCAAAAACTAAAAAATGCTTCTGACAAATCAGTTCAATATTTTTTTTATTGTGCTCAAAATAGTGCAATGTCAACTTTAATCTTTTGCTGTTTGTTGTATATGAAAAGTTGAACGTATTGTTTTGAAAAAAATAGTATGTACATACACGTACACATTTTTAAAAACAAGATTTAATAGGCAGTTCGTTCTATTTAATACACTTAAGTATCTGTAATCCAATTGTGTTGTGATGGACAGATCTGTTTGTCCGTTTTTCTATTCAAAGAAATGCTACATTGTTCACTATAGTCACATTGAACTTGGCCACATGCAGGACATCTTTCATTATTTTTATTGAGCCTGCATTAGTTGTAATCACAGGCAATCATGATTTGAATGTACATTTGATATGGGGAAAGATAAGATTTTAGTAATTGATAGTTTCTTGTGTATGTTTCAAAAATATACTTTTATAAATACTTGCACAAATATTTTTGGGAGGCACAGTGGCTGAGTGATTAAGCACTTGGGGTCCCCGGGCTCAAATACTGGCTAAGACTGGGATTTTAAATTTTGGAATCTTTAGGGCACCCCTGAGTCCACCCAGTTCTAATGGGTACCTGACATTAGTTGGGGAAAAGTAAAGACGGTTGGTCCTTGTGCTGGCCACATGACACCCTCGTTAACCGTGGACCACAGAAACAGATGACCTTTACATCATCTGCCCTATAGATCGTAAGGTCTGAAAGGGAAACTTTACTTTTTTTACACAAATCCTCTGTATTTTTATTTTTAACTTAATAAGTATTAGATTCCAATTATAAATATGTACAGGTACTCATGAATAGTAAGCTGTGAAGGAGACTAAGAATAGATTAGTATTATTATTAAATAATCACATTTCATGGCTCCTTGATGCTTCAAGTTAAATAGAAATTCTTGTATTATTCATACATTTCAGATGATATTTTTTTCTCTTTATTTGACAAAAATGTTTATAATAATTCACATAACACTTATAGTTAAAAATCTATCACTTTTGTCAGGGTAAAAATTAATAGATGGATAATGTATAGTGTTGTTTTTTTTCATACCTTAGTTCTACATCTCATAAACCCATTATCATCATCATCTTTCCTTTGCGTTCCTCTTGGAACTCAGTAAAAACATGCCACTCTCTTCTGTCATTTTGCTAGTTTTTAATGGCTTCCCAGCTCATTATAATAATTTTTATTTCCTTTTAGAAAAGTGGTCTTTTATTTGAATACATTCACTCAAGAAATTCACTCTTTTTTGAGTTTGGATCGAATCCCACACAAATGATGGATCGCCATATTTCTTAGAAACAAGCAATATTTTTTTTTTTAAAAATCCTTTTTAAAACTAAAGCTCATCTTTGGGAAAAAATTCCTCATGTACAACTATACCTATCAGTAGTGTAGAAGTTATTACCCTTAGTGGATATCAAACACAAAAATTAATTACCAATAATTAATTGACTAATTGGTTATTTTTTTAATTGATTCATGTTTTGTTTGGTACAATAAATAATTTTTTAAGTTTCAATTTGATCTAAGAATGAGTGTTGGAGAAATAACCTATGCAATTATCTAAAAAGACTAAACCCTACATATTTAGCTGTATGTGTGAATACTGAAGGATTAATTTCCCTTGTTTGTATCAAACAAAATGATAAATCACCAGTAATTAATTGACTAATAGGTAAATTATTTTATTGATTCATGCCTTGTCTATGCCAATAAATAATTGTGCGACTTGAGCTGAGAATGGGCATGGGAGAAATAAAGTTTACAAACTTTTAACCAGATAAAGAGATTGACAGACAGAGTGAGTTCATATAAGCTTTGTAAAGATAACTATTAGATTTGAATTACATTTTGACTATACATTTTTAGTACATGTAGTTTTAACATAAACTTACTCTTGTTGTAATTAATTTATATTAGATCTACATAAATATGTGCATTCAAAGTTTAACAATGTCACAGATTCCTTATTATATTTATAATAATAACTATAACTATAATAAAAATCTACCTTAGGTCTCGATACGTCTAGGTGTCCCTGGTTCAGTTCTAGTTAACGAAATAAAATAATGAAACCACTAGATCAAACACATAAACTTTAATCAGCTTTACTGCATATCACACACGCTGGACTCTGTCTGACAACAAAACACACTTCCGGTCATTCACGCAGATTGTAAAAATAGATTATACATACATACACACATTCATTCGTGACAAACAACAATTGACATTTTTTGTTTCTGTTGTAGTTTATGCTATTTGTTTCTTTGTTACACTATTGCTTGGACAATAAATCACCTACATTCTAATCCTCTGTGGTGGGGGACTAGTTTAGTTCATGGGCTTTTCATAAAAATGAAATTTCTTTGCTGGTGCAGATTCTATTGGTGATGAAGCTAACTAACGGTACTTAGTGTCCACCTATTTATTTATTATGTTTGCCATTATGATTACCATTACTTTCTAAAAAAAACTTAAATAAATAAATGTAAATGTAATAAAATGTGTTGCCAGAGAATGTAGACATGATTTTCTGCACACTTTATTCTGGATCCTTTAAGTTGGGGAAAGTATAAATAGAGACTAGCTTGTTTTGGGAGTCTGTATTTAAGATTGATATTGAATTTATTTCCATGGACTTGTTATCAATATTAATTTTTTATCATGGAATATTGTGAGTGTTATTCAATTTTTTAATTTCAATTTTAATTAGTAAACTATTCAATTCTTTCGAAAGGCTTTCTGTTACTTTTTTACGTATTCTAATACCCTACTCTATGTTGAGTAATTGAGTAATCTGACTTTATGTCTAACAGTATCATCATCATCAAACTCCATTTATGAGGTCTTGAGAGAGGCACAAATTCTCTTTTGCAGAAAGCCTTCTGTCTTACATAGTGTATACGTCACCATACATGTCGAGAATTTTTGGTTTCCCAGACCTGTCGAGACGAAGATCAGCAAGTCTGGGGCAGTCAAAAAGAAGATGAACATAGTTTCCTCTTCTTCCCCGCAGCTTTGGAGGCAGGGGCACAGTGAATCAAAATTTGGAAATATGAGCCAACAGGACAATGGCCTGTCCTGCACTGTGCTGTAATAGCTTGCTCAGGCCTGGACAGCCTCCACCACAGGGAAGTGCGGTCAGGGTGCCACATGTGCTCCAGACTCCACAGGCTTTTTTGGGACTTGTCTAGCACTCAAACCACTTTTCCAATTCTGTTTTTTTTTTTATTATAGCCAGAGCATGATGAAGACTCGTAGACTGTTCGGTGGGTGGTGTTTGCCCTCCCTGGTGGGCCAAGGAGTCTGCAATAGCGTTGCTTTATTTTGTGTGAGGCCATGATGACTGAATTGCTACAGAAACAACAAACTTGACACATAAAGAAAGATCTTTATGGAGACAGTTTGCTACCCAACGCGCCAAATGGCGCGGGAAGAACTAAGTCTAAGTCATGATGACAGTGTCAATAAGGGGGCCATATACAGGTTTTGAGTCAGTGACCACAACAAGCTTTGTTCCCCACAAATGTCCCTCGCCGAGTTGAGAGTCAATGACTTTTAAGGCTTCACAGACTGCCATGGCCTCTGCATCAAAACTGCAAACACTACCACATGTATTGAATTGTACTCTATACTAGCTTAACAGTTATGTAGATTGACCCAAAACTCCTTAACAAGGAAAAAAAACTACTTTAAAAAAAACAAAAAAAAACAAAGGTTGTATTAAGCATAGTTGCATCAATTAGTTTGGATCAGTAATGTCATTAAATTTGCA